AAAATATTATAAGCTTCACTCATAAATAAATAAAAACAAACGTATTAAAATTTTGTAAATTGATCAACTTGGTTAAATACGTTATACGTTTACTTGATTTACCCTGAACTGCTTGGTTGATTAGTACTTTTCGATGCTGTGAACTTGTAAGTGAAGAATTCGATGTATGATCGAATGATAGCACTTTAATGGGAATCCTTGATTGCTGGCTTTTAATTATTTAATATTAATTATAAACATAAATGATTTGTATATTATATTTAGAGTTTCAGAAAGAATTTAATTAAGTATTTTAAATAAATATCTTATAATAGTTACTTTAATGTTCTTAATTTATCTATATTTGAAGCCGAAACCTGTTAAAGCTGGTATACTGGATGATCTACTCATGCCTTCATTACTTTATATATTATTTGTTATCGTTGTTTTTATTTCTTATTTGTTAATAATTGCAATAAGTTGTTTAAGTGTTAAAATCATTATGTTGAATGCCAATTAGTTATTAGTTTTGAGAATGATAGATGTGGAGAGTTCATGTTCAGAAATATTAAATAAAAAAGTTAATCGGTTTTAGTTATATAAAATCAATAAATCAATCAATAAATTACTTTAAATAAGTAAAATACATTGATTTATATTAGGAAGTATAATTTATATCAAATGAATAAATTAAAAATATTGAAATAAATCATAGTGTGTCATGTAACAATCTTGTACTTAGAGTTATAACTTAGCACATAATTTTCTCACGAAAACTACTAAATTATATCACGAAAGTTATGTGTCGCAAGAACATACATATAAACAAATTATATTATTGTTATGAATCATACTTTCTGTAAAATAAAAACATACTAATAAATAATTATCTGTGCAATGTTAACTATGTGATTTATTTCCAAAAAAAATAGCAATAATAAAGATATAACGATTTTTTTTTGTAATTATGATTAAAAATTTTATTTTGGAGTTGTTATTCTTCTAAATTATAGTTTAAATTTAAGAAAACATATATACAAATGTATCTTATATATAAAATTAACATTGTCAAAATGTTAGTTACCGTACTCCTCCGAAACGGCTTTACCGATTTTTACCAAATTTTATATGCGTATTCAGTAGGTCTGAGAATCGGCTACTATCTATTTTTCATACCGCTAAAGTGATTAGGGAGTCCCTACCCAGTAAAAATATCCTTAGTGCTTAACAAAAAATTTTTTATTTTTTTGACATAAATTTTGTTTATATTTTTGAAAAAGAAAAATTTTTTCTTAATATTTTATGTAACTACGCCAACAAGTACATCGAGCATTTACATCGACTTCGTTCTTCGTCTTCGGCTTGCATGGCAGATGGAAAATGTACTAAAAATTTTTCTAAAGATTTCACTAATGATACTATAACAAATACCGACGGATATCCAATATATCGTCGAAGAAATCCCGATAATGGGGGACAATGGCGGGTGGTAACGTATTCGCCTCTGCTAAGCAAGACATACAATGCTTATATTAATGTTGAGTTTTGCAGTTCTGTGAAGAGCATCAAATATATAAGTATGTCCATAAAGGCGGTGGTATGGCTGTGTTTAGAGTAGAAAATACTAATGTAAATGCTCCTCCAATGAACAAAAACGGTGAAATTACGCTCTACCAAATTGGTCGGTACATCACCTCCAATGAAGCTGCTTGGCGTATCTTCGGCTTTCTAATTCATGAACGGGATCCAGCAGCTGTTCAGGTAGCCGTCCATCTTGAAAATGGTCAGCGTGTATTTTTCACGAACGAGACAGTGATTGATCGTGGTACAAATCCACCTAAATCTGCACTCACTGCATTTTTTGAATTGTTTAATAGTACGGATGATTTTGGTGCCTTTGCAAAAACATTACTCTATTCACAAGTACCACGCTATTTCACATGGCCTTAAACAAAAAAATGGATGCCCCGCAAGCAAGTTTCACCAGTTGATGCATGTCTCAATTTATTTAAATCAAACGCTTATTTATAGTTAATCCAAGACACACTGAGTACTTTTATCTTCGACTGTTGTTGGTTAATGTTACTGGCCCATTATCATTATTATTATTTACAGTCAATCCAAGACAATTTAAATTTGAAGATACAACAGTTGTTGCCAGGGAACTTGGTATCATAAAATCTATTGATTTTAAATTAATAATTTAATAAATAAACTATAATAACTTAAAAATAATATTGTTTGGCGTTTGTTATTTTTATTATCCTTTTCGTTCATAGCGCTCCATGCCTATTTCATGCATATACCACATACTTACACACTTATAATAAGTAAGTTACTTTTTGTCTACACTAGAATTTATCTAGAAACTAGAAATAATTTATAAGGCAAAACAGCGTTTGTCGGGTTATCTAGTATATATATATATAACAGGGAAAAATCAAACAACTTACAAAACTAAATATACATATTACTAATTATAAATACTAATTATAATTAATTAATTATAATAAATAAATCAATAATTTGCATGCCCGATGGTGTTGAACGGCCACTTATATTTCGCCTGTAGGATCAAATTTTCAATATGTATTATTTTTTGAATTCAGTAAAAATAAAACTGTAAACAACTTGATTGAATTAAAATTGATTGAATTAAAAATATGTAATTTACATGACGACCTTGATTTTTTAACAATATTGACCATGAAATTACGAGACTTTATTTACATCCATAATCTCTTGATGTAAACAAAGTCCCGCAAACAGAGTGACAAAAAAATTCAAGAAAACAAATTTCTAATTGTTGTTCACATTGCAGTGAAATTTAATAAAAATAACTACATAACATAACATATGCGTGTGCAATATTTTCCTTAAATTTGTTTATACAGGCCAACAAAAGAAATAGTTATTACAAATTTAACAAATTTTTGCTAGTAACAAAAAAATAATCAATACGAAATTTAAAGTTAACAGGGTCATGTATTAAAATAAATGGATTTTAACTTAAAAATTTATTAAATTAAATATATGTATGTATGTATTTTACATGACGACCATGATTGTTTCAACAATATTGAACATGAAATTACGGGACTTTATTTACATTAATAATAATTTGATGTAAACAAAGTCCCGCAAGCATAATGACAAAAAAATTCAACAAAACATACCTCTAGTTGTTGTTCGCATTGCAGTGAAATTTAATAAAAATAACTGCATAATATAAAAACGCTTGCACATATTTTAATGCATAACCCTGTAAACTTCAAATCAATTTGCCTTTGATTACCAACACAATAGGTTTTGTACAAATATTTTAAAGAGAACATGACATATGTATATCATATTAATGCGCACCCATACACACATACACAGTTATTAGTGTGCCTACGAATGGAGTCATAGCGGAAAAAAAACATAATTGTGATGAGCGGACGGAGAAATGGCACCAAACATCTTCTATTCCTCATTCTTATTGCACACTCTAAAAGATTTTGTATGAAAGAGTATGTGAGGCAATATTTCTGAAGATGATGCATGGTTTTGTTTTTGTATATTTTTCACAAAATATTTGATTGCTTTTCTGCACATGCAGTGCATAAATTCTTTGAAATTATTACTTCTTATTTTTCAAGCATTTTCAAGCATAATTATTGGCGTCGTGTTAGTTGCCTACTTGAGCCCTTGCTTCCCTCTCTTGTCCTGTTTACAGTTACAACATGCGTACGGTTGTAGTCATAGACGAAAAAACCAAAACCAAACATGATTTGAAGCGCACAGGGTCATCCATTAAATAAGATGGATTTTATTAATAATATATTATTATTATTTCTTTTATATGTTTATTGTGTTTTTAAATAATTATTGAATACATAATATTTTAATGTATGTTTTATATGTTTATTGTGTTTTTATATTATTTATTTGTGTAATGTTATTTATACCTTATTTATGTACATACATATGTATGTAAAACAAAAGTTGTATTTGTTATATTTACTTTATTTGTAAAACCGCTAATGTAGAATATTAGCACGTTAAATAATAACTGAAATCAAAAGTAATGATGTGTGCAAAGTAATGATGTGTCATCTAAGTATTATTAAATAAACTAATATCGGTAGAAATTAATTGAAGACTGAACAATATTATTTACATATGTAATTTATACCCATCATCAGTATTCAATATTTTTTATTAGTCAAACATACATGCATATATCCTTCAAACTGAAACTGAAGCTGAATTTTTTAACAAATTTCATTTCATCATTATTGCAATTATTAACAAAATTTGAAGTTAATAGGGTCATCTATTAAAGAATATGGATTTTGACTAAAAAATTTATTAAATAAAATATACATACATATGTATTTTACATGACGACTTTGATTTTTTTAACAATATTGACCATGAAATTACGGGACTTTATTTACATCAATAATCTTGTGATTTAAACAAAGTCCCGCAAGCAGAGTGACAAAAAAATTTAACAAAACAAATTTCTAATTGTTGTTCGCATTGCAGTGAAATTTAATAAAAATAACTGCATAACATAAAAAATGCGTGTGCAATATTTTCCTTAAATTTGTTTATACACGCCAACAAAAGAAATAGTTACTACAAATTTAACAAATTTTTGCTAGTAACAAAAAAATAATCAATACTAAATTGTTCTTATATTCTTCATTTTATTTATTCTACTCTAAATGATTTTGTATGAAAGAGTATGTGAGGCAATATTTCTGAAAATGATGCATGGCTTTGTTTTTGTATATTTTTCCTAAAATATTTCCTAAAATATTTTTCCTGAAATATTCATATATACATATGGTATGTACATACATATATGAATCACAAAAAATCACGTTTGACTGATTTGTTTAGAAAAATGAATAAGGATAATAATGGTTTAATACCACGTGCCGAATTCATATATGGAATAATAAGTACGATTATTTATATAATGTAGAATAACTAAATAATGTAGAATACCTATTATTTATTTTTTAAAGAATTTGACACTTCTCGAATGGAAATGGGTGCAGTGGCAGATCTTTTTGATCGTAATGGTGGAGACCCGATTGGCAAGAACGCAAACCAGCAACTGATTCAGATAAAATACATGATGAAGTTAAACGCCTTGTTATCCTTTGCACATGTCGACAAAAATTTTGCGTATTTCAAGTTGGCAAAGGGAAATATAGGGTTCGTAAAATACTAATTATCGGATCTTAAAGCTTAATACTCCATCTTCTATTTAAAACAATATTATTTTTGTATAAAACAGTTTGGCGACTCGACTCTCAAAAATTACGAATATTGCGAATATTGCGTAGCACAGTTATGGTTCGTGTAGGTGGCGGCTGGCTTGCACTTGATGAGTTCTTATAAAAAAATTTTCCTTGTCGCGGTAAGTAAATAGTTAAGAATTTTGTACTTTCTCATATTGAATAAACATAATTAAAATATTCATATGCTTATAATTAAAACATTTCTTTAGCGTAATATAACATTATTATTACATTTACATAACAAGCATAACATGCTTTCATAGTAAAATTGTACATTGTTCATTTCATAAATCATTTTAGCTGGTTTTAATGACTCGAGTGTTTTATTACAACTCTGCTCTACATAATCTATTTAATCATCCATACGTCAGTGAAAATACATATATATA